TAAGGCAAAAAATAATTACTTTACAGTAATTACACAAAAACCCCAAAAGTTAGGAAAATTACAAAAAGGTTATGCATCTATACCCTTTACAAGAAAAGTAAGCACTTAGTATGCTTTTCTATAAAAGTGAAAATACACATAGTATGGAATTTAAATATTGTGGATGCATGCAAAACCGGAATCAAATCTGAACACGAAAAGTGAGGTTATGCTAACAAAGTGACAACCGAGAAAAAGACAAAAGTGAATAGTGTCACAAAAGTGAAAATGTGAAAATGATTCGGTCCTCAAAGGAAGTCGTCAATTCACGGAAAAGAGTCTCAGAAACCATTCCCGAGTACTGAAGATGACACTAAGTGACGAGAAATCGAACTCAGAAAGGAAAAGATCAACGGAAAAAAAATATCTTTGAAAATCCGAGAAAAGGAAATGAATAAAAATGACCGGGTCATTACATGTTCCGTACATTTTTTATTTAGTTTCCCTAATTATTCCTTACCACCTATCTAAAGTTGTGAGTATTTACTTTATGACCCAAATAAAATACATTAATTATATTTTAATTACGAAAATGACTGTTTAGCCCCCGGATTTTTACATTAATTATTATGCTACATAAGTAAATGACTAATATGCCCCTTGAGTCTTAAACCATTAGAACTGTGACAAATGACCATTTGTCCTTGTTGGACTTTAAAAATATAAATTTAATGTAATACCCCGATATTTTAAAGGATTTATTAATTGGGATTAATTACTTTTATTTTATTTTTAAATAATTTATTTGATTCAATTTGAATTAATTGCGTTTATTTTAATTTTTAATTGATTTATTTTATTGAGTGCTTAGATTAATTGTTTTATTTTATTTATATTTCATGAATTATTGATATGATGATTGTTGTGTGTGTGCTTAATTATTGATTGAATTGTTGGCGTGTTGATTTTATTGGTATGGTATGACTTGGTTGTAATTTATTGTTTTATTTATATGCTTAGTGTAATTAGTTTTTTAATTTAAGTGTTTATTTAATTATTTGATTTATTTAAATTAATTGGATTTGGGCTTAAGAAAAGTTGGACCAAAAGATGTGGTTTTGGGCTTGTATGAAGCCTTATTGGGTTAATTAATAAAAACTCATGATTATTTAATTATTTAAATGATTATTTTTGTATTAATTATAAGTATATATATATATATATATATATAATTATATATAAATATAATTAATTAATAATTGTTATGGAAAGATGTATATATAGATATATATTTATTGATATATAGGTATATATGATTTAATTAACTAATGGGTTAATTATGGAAGGTATATATATATATATATATATATATATATGTTTATAGATATATATTATTTAAAGTTTATTATTTTATTTGAGAGTCCTAGTTGGAATAGAAATATGATTTGGATTTTAATGTGTATAAATATACACATAAGGTTTTAGGGTTAAAAGTTTACACTTTAGAAAAATAAGAGAGACAGATAGAGAGAGAAAAGGAGAAGGCCGACAAAGAGGAGGGCGAATCTGAGGAGGAGGAAGTTGGGATTGGAAGAGATAATCAAAATTTGAAGCGTCGGTTTCGTTTTGAAACTTTCAGGCGAGTGCTTCTCTAACTTTCCTCTTAGAACTCATAAGGATTTTACCTTGAGTATCAAATTAAGATTAAATTTATTGGTTTAAAAATTATTAGGCCTCATACCAATTGGAGATGACACACTTACATATAAGTACTTCACCTTTCCTCTACCCAAGCGATGTGGGACTGTGCACCCGTAGCTCGCCAGTGTGGTAGCCTGTCAGTATCTCTCGCACCCGCCCACGGCACACTCGCCCACAGGGTCATCACAATTCACCCCCCTTGGAGGCCCGACGTCCCCGTCGGCACACTTCCGGCTAGGTCAGGCTCTAATACCATTTGTAACGACCCACTCCACTACATGGTATGATATTGTCCGCTTTGGGCTTGAGCCCGCACGATTTTGCTCTTGGGCTTTACCCCAAAAGGCCTCATACCAATTGGAGATGACACACTTACATATAAGCACTTCACCTTTCCTTTACCCAGGCGATGTGGGACTGTGCACCCGTAGCTCACCAGTGTGGTAACTTGTCAGTGTCTCTCGCACCCGCCCACGGCACACCCGCCCACAGGGTCGTCACATTTAACTTGAAATGACCGTATTACCCTTGGATGATTTTGGGTCAGGTAAGGACCCGTTTAATGATCTGGATCCTGTGGATTTGGGTCGTTACAGGGAAGCTCATCGGATTGTACATTGAAATTCTTCACTAGGTTTAAGGTTTCAACAGTGTTCACCGGAGACTGAATTGAAACATGCGGGGCAGATTCACCACAGCTCTTCTGTCGTTTAGAGCGCACCCTTGCTTGCCATGTTCCTCGTTGGTCTTTGTTGGGGTCTGTGTGTAATGTTTATATATTCTATCTGTGAGTACAAGAAGGGTGTTTTTGTCTTTTATTTTTTGATTCAACTCTAAATTTTTATAAATATTAATAATATATAATTGATGGACAAAATTGTAAAATTACATAATTTCGTTAGTAAAGTAACCAGACGTCACAATGAAGGGAGGTAGGTGGAATTTTGAAACCTAGAGGGGGTGTAAGTGAGATATGGTCAAAGGTCAGGAGGTGTATGTGAAATTAACCCATTCATTTATTAATCCTCAGCCAAAGAAAAGTAGAAAAATGTATTTCTCTTTATTTACTTCCCTCATCCAAACACATGGCATTGTGATTTTCTTATAAGAGTCGGTTTGGTTAGACCGAAATTTTTGTTGAAAAGTGACAGTGAAAGAAAGTGAAGGGCCTGTTTGGCTAATACTTTTGCTTCGTGTTTTTTTGTTTTTGCTAGTGTACTATAGCAAAGCGAAAGCACGAAGCATGTCTGGTAACATTTGTTGTCATTTGAATAGTACTAAAGTGCTTCCAAAATTAAAGTCAAAATCGGAAGCATTAAAATGATGCTATTGTTTGCTTCCGCATGGTAGCAAAATACTGTTAAAAAAAAAAACCTTCTAAATTAACATTTTTACTAACCATTCAATTTTTCAAACTTGTAACATTTTTTACCAAACATGCTTTCACATTTTGCTTCCAAAAATCTTGTAACAAATTTACGTTATCAAACAAGTTTCGAAATAGTATTAAATACACTCTAAAGCGGAAACATTGCTTCTGTTTTGGGTCAAAGCAAAAGTATACAATTGTGGTTGCCAAACGAGCCAAAAGTGAATAAGCATGAAAGTGAAAAGAAAGTGATTGTAATTACCAAAATTATTCTTTATAAGATTATCTTGTATTCTTTTGAGGTTGCAATATATATATATATATATATATATATATATATATATCAAACCACCAAGAAGTATTTTCCAAATGTTAAAAGGGCAAAAATGATAATATACATTTACTTCTTGTCAAATGTCAAAGTTACCAAAATTTTTGTAACCAAAAGTTAATGGAGGGAATGGTTGCTACATTTTTCAGAAAATAAAGTCTGAAGCAAACAAATTGAATTGAATTTTAGGAGGTCATCGTGCACAAAAACTATAATCCCCACCCCAAAAAAAAAATGAAAAAGGCCTGAACAGTGGAACTGTGACATGCAGTAACTAGTGTTCTACAAACTATTTTTCTATTTTTTATTTTGTTAACAATACTTCAATGCTGATATTTAGTGTATGTATTTTTTTTAGAATATTAAAAACATGTAAATCATGAGAAGGGTATCACTTCTCCACACTACTTACTACTTGTTTTTTTGTTTTAATTTTATACTTTCTCATCTCACATGCTATATATGACATGGACTTTTATTTATTTTATCCATAAATATATTATTATTCATTTATTTAGTAAAAATATAATTACTAAAAATATATTTTTACTGAATTATATTGTATAAGCTCGATCCAAATCTCTATCCAACATTTTGTGAAACTAAATTGAAAGTTTAGGGCTTGTTTATTTCATGTTTTTTGTTTTATTATTCTAAGTTTAAAACTCTCTATATTATTCTAAATTGAATCACCGATTCATGACATTCTAAATAAATTTATGGTTTTTATTACACCACATCAACTAATTTAATAAAACTTACAATACTTTGTCGATTTAGGGCCACAATAAAGAAACGTCGTTAGTAGGCAGTGTATCAACTTTCTTCATTATTTACACAGTGTTTCAGCTTTCTTCATTCTTTGTTACCAATCGGCTTTAAATTCTGGTATTCTGAGACGTGATTAATATGGTCTTGGAGGATAGAAAGTAACCTTAAGCCATTCAAACAGTGAAATTCACAGAACCCGCCGAAGAAAATACAAATCTTCATGAAAACCCTAATGGGGAAGACAATAATGCTGGAGGTTGAGTCAAATGAAATCTTGTAGTCTTAGCATATTCTCTTCATTCTTTCGTCTGACAGTCCGCTCGTCGCCGGCAAACAATAGAAGATGGCCACACTCTCTTTCTTAGGTTGTTTTAATCTTCTGATTTCCCATAATTTTTCTCTGTCTGATTAATTTCATGAAACCGATTTGCTTATATGATATATAACCAAATGAATGAGATATGATTTCGTAACATTTATGTTGATTTTGGTTAAAATTATTGTTGGACTTGTTATTTATGAGAGATGATTGAGAGTTCTGGATTCTAGTAACCACGTTAACGTAGACATCACGTTAAGGTAGACGTCTTTTGTCTTGTCTACTTTTTATTAAATTTGTCTATATGGTCTAATATTAATCATAGATTTATTTAAAATGCCATATACCAATGTGTGAATAATTTAATTTAAGATAATGTTAAATTTTAACTTAGAAAAGGTTCTTTTTAAATAGTGTAGTCAAGCAAAATAAAATATGTTTTGATAGTATTTGTTACTACCAAAATGTTTTTGAAAATGAGACAGCACCAAATTTAACAGATTGAAATGAAGTTTTACCACTTACTCAAATCTTGCAGTGAAGCTTTCTTGGTGAGGAACCAAATTCCAACTGAAACAATTTATGGTCTGAATAATCACTTGCCACTTATTTCTGAACTTGTTGAGAATCAAAATTCCAACTGAAACATCTTGCTTCAAATTTCAATGTGGACAAAACAAACCCCCCTGATAAAATCTCCATAACAAACGGTACATAGCCCACACTCAGCCTATTTCAAAATGCTAACCCTGTATAGAATCCCCAAAATCCGCCACCACACCCCTCTGAAACACCCTTCTCACAACCTAACCACCGCTCCACCACCACCAACGCCCCCACCGCCACCCCAAGACGACGCGGCAATCGCCCACCTCGTCCTCAGAACTGACCCACAAGCACTTGCCCTAGCCCTCGAAGAAAACCCAGTTCAATGGTCGCCCGACCTCGTCAACAGAGTCCTCAAACGCCTCTGGAACGACGGTCCCAAAGCCCTCCAATTCTTCAATCACGTCGATCGCCACCGCACCTACACCCACTCCGCCGACGCGTTCGACCACGCCATCGACATCGCCGCCCGCATGCGCGATTACAAGACCCTCTGGACCCTCGTGGCCCTAATGAGGACTCGCAGTCTTGGTCCCAGCCCCAAAACCTTCGCAATTTTGACTGAAAGGTACGTTGCTGCTGGCAAACCTGATAGAGCTGTTAAGATATTCTTGTCAATGCATGAACATGGTTGTCCTCAGAATTTGCATTCTTTCAATACATTTCTTGATGTGCTTTGCAAATCCAAACGGGTTGAAAAGGCTTACTCGCTTTTGAAGGTTTTTAGAGGTAGGTTTAGAGCTGATACAATTAGTTATAATATAATTGCAAATGGGTTTTGTTTGGTTAAGCAAACGCCCAAGGCCTTGCAGATTTTGAAGGAGATGGTGGAGAGAGGTTTGGATCCGACTCTAACGACGTATAATATATTGCTTAAAGGGTTCTTTAGGGCTGGTCAAATTAAAGAAGCTTGGGAGTTCTTCTTGCAGATGAAGAAGAGAGAATGTGACATTGATGTTGTCACGTATACTACTGTGGTTCATGGATTTGGTGTTGCTGGTGAGGTGAAAAAAGCTTGGAAGGTTTTCGATGAGATGATTGGGGCAGGAGTACTTCCATCGGTTGCGACATATAATGCTTTGATTCAGGTTCTTTGCAAGAAAGATAGTGTGGAAAATGCTGTTTTGGTTTTTGAGGAGATGGTAAGGAAGGGGTATGAGCCCAATACGACGACGTATAGTGTGGTCATTAGAGGATTATGTCATGCAGGAGAAATGGATAGGGCAATGGAATTTATGGGTAGAATGAAGGATGATGAGTGTGAGCCAAATGTTCAGATATATAACTTTGTGATACGTTATTACTGTGAAGATGGAGAAATTGAGAAGGGTTTGGAAGTGTTTGAGAAGATGGGTAATGAACTTTGTCTGCCCAATTTGGATACCTATAATATTTTGATAAGTGCGATGTTTGTTAGGAAGAAATCAGATGATTTGTTGGTGGCTGGGAAGTTGTTGATAGAGATGGTTGATAGAGGGTTTCTTCCTCGAAAGTTTACTTTTAACCGTGTCTTGAATGGGCTATTGCTGACTGGTAATCAGGACTTTGCTAAAGAGATTCTGAGATTGCAGAGCCAATGTGGCCGTCTTCCTCGTCAGTTCAGATTGTGAATCCCACTAATATTTTGTTTGTCTCATAAACTATGGATTGGATTCACATTCTTTTTGTGATGGCAAAGTCCTTTACTGTTCAAGAGGGCACATGCTCTTAGTGGAGCTGTCCTGCTTGATACTGGTCACAATAGGCTTTCCTTTGGTGTGGTTGTGACTATGTCCAAGTGTTAAAGCTGTTAAAAGAGTTTGGAAGATGGACAATCTCTTTGCCCATTGGATAAGGTATTCAAGAGGGCACTGACTCGTGTTTTGGAAACTACTGTTAGAAGTGCGCAACAGAATGGATTGTAGTTATGGACTTGCGGCCAAGTCCACACTACCCAATGCTGGTCCAATGTATGTAGCTGCTGGATGTTTGACTAGGTAATCTGTTTTTTGCCATTATTTGTACAAAGTAGCTACCTTCAGATCAGACTCATGTTCTTCATGATTGACTGCCCAAACGTCTACTGGACCAAGCAACGACCCTCTAGCTTTGGCAAAGGAAGGTTGAGAATTAGAGGATAATGTTTTGAACATATTTGACCCAAGATGCAGAATTTCATACCCACTGAATGAGATCCTATGTGCTTTGGTTCATGACTAGATTGGAGCACCATTGCGGATTGGAGCCAAGGACAATAGGACACAGAACAACAGGTTAGTGGTTTTAATCCGCTCCCAAGTTCTCTTCTTTTGCTTATTACTGCCTTCTTATCTTTGTGGCTGTTACAATTACCACTTTGTTTGGTACCTGTTGGTTTTTTTGTATGATTATTGGTCCAATCAAACACAAGGATAAATGAAAAGGTCTGAAACCTACAGGAAAAATGAAATTGGTTTGAAAATCCCCACATCTTTTCTCTTTTGTTAAAATATCCTTTCTATTCCCCTTTTGAACTCTCTTCTAATCGACTTTTACTTATCAAAAAAAAAAAAATCCTTTCTATCAATTACAAAATTAAGGCTTTGTTTTTCTGCATGGACTGCCAATGTCGACAAAAAATAAAAATATAAAACACTAACACAGACATGAATAAGCAAAGTGATAATGGAGAAAGTCCGGGAATTAGTATAGTTGAGATACATAAGATCTGGTTCATTCTGGACTCCATCACGATGATTAATCATCGCTGTCATTGTCATAATCACTTCATCATGGTCATCATATTCTTCTTCTCAAACTTGAAGAGATTTGAACTTTTTGATAATGAAGCTATTCCTAGATGAAGCCTTTCAAAATCATTTTAGCCTTGGTGGATGTCATCTGTCTCTTGCCAAGTTTATTGCACTTAAGAAACATAACCGCCATGCTATTTAGAGCGAAACTTGAAACAGAATACATATAAATATTGTTGGATGAGGGGTGTCCCATGATGATGGTATTGATTATATGCTGTTCCTTTTTCTCCAACACGTTAGAAGTATGTTTTCTGGAAATGTTTTGATGGTATGGTTCTTCCACATTACCAAAAGCAGCAGGGAAAACAGAGCAGTTGATCGTTTTTTTTTTTTTATTTTTTTTATTTTTTGATAAATAAAAATAACTAAAAATGAGGTATTTTATAATACCTCGAACCCTTGCATTATCAGGGTTGAAAAACATAGAATGTTACCCAAGAAGACACAAGGAGGCCAGGTGCAGTTGATCTTTTTTCAAATCAAATTAAACCAGATGGCAAATTTATATGCATTTTTGGATATTATACCACAAGAATAACTATTTGAACAGCTGATATGCTCTATTATATACTGAAGTCCTTCAAGATATATAGTGCCACCAACGGGACAGTGGCCTAGCGGTATCTGCCTCTTATTTCCCAAAGAGAGGTCAAGGGTACAAGTCTCAAAAGAGACGTGTGTGTGAGTACCAACTAGGAAATATATATATATCTGTGTGTATATATATATATATAGTGCCTGATAACTTCAGACACTCCAAGTCCTGATTCAGTGCCTTTGGAGATTGATATTGAGATGAAAGCCAGAGTGTCATTTTCCTATTGATAAAAGAGGTATGGTATTTGCTTTTTGGGAATCTCATCTAAGCATTGTCTTCTGGATCTGCTCAGCTGGCATCTAGAACATGAACGGACCAATAGGATCTTCTTTTTTTTTGGTTAGGTAAATATGCACACCCACAAATGCCCACTGTGGGACTTGAATTCCTCATTTCCCCTTCAAGGGAGGAGAGGTTATACCCTACTTATCAAAAAAAGAAAAGAAAAAAGGAGAGGTTACACTAGCTGGGCTAATGGCCCAGTGGTAATAGAATCATGTTGACCAATGATGGAATGAGAATATAATGAGAAATTAGGAAATTGGCATTGTGTATCTAAATAAGTGAAGGTTCAGTCCAGTAGTTTAGTTTCCAATTTTGATGAATGACAGGTGTTGGCCTAAATGCTCTCTAACCAAGCTTAACTTGGTAGTTTTGATGATTATAATATATTAATGTGCAATTTAACTATCTAATTGAGTGTGCTGCATTTCAGATTAACATATACACTCAGGTACATAGAAAGGATTGTAGTAGTCAAGGAACTCAACCTCATTGAATTTCAGAGTTCAAGACTCAGGCAGGTGAGTTAATCCATGAAACAGAAGCTCAAAGGCTCTCCTTGAAACATAAAGTTCAAATTGACAGAGCTGCTGACAAACTCAAGTGTTGTCAAGATCAACCTGAAAGCTCATCTGATGATCAAGACTTGGGTATGTTAGGATTGGGTGAGTGCTAGTTTAAATATGAAGTTATGATTTAGTAACTTGATTTTAAAAGCTCAATCCCTTAACCACAAAGTGTCTAAGACCTTTAAGCCTCAGTATATAGGTCTCTAGGTATACAAACCAAGAACTTTAATTATGACCAAATAAGTTATTGAAATAAGTCTTGTCCTCTCCATTTTATGGTTTTACATCGAGGCAATCTTGTACATTCCAAAACATAAACCTTTCCCAGTATTTCCCTTGTTTATAGACGCCTTCATGAGATAGTGTATCTCTATATGTCGTCTTACCTTCGCTTTACAGACGAGCCCTTACGTCATGACTTTATAGTCCAAGTCTGACTAAGATCGCCTCAACATTTAATGCCGCTGAATGCGCTGACACGAGATAACTTGTGATGACTACTCAAACAGCTCTTTTATTTGAATTGTGTTGAAAGTCTTAGTTGATTTGAAAAGAAATCAAAAGCTGAACGACATATGCACTACCAAGACACCTAGCAAAGACGTCTTACACGAATGTCTCCCGTTTCAAACTAACTTCCTCTCCAAACACAGTGTTATACACTCCAAAGAGCTATAAATACCCCTCCAACAATTCAATTTGAGAGTAGTAGCGTACTGACCTCCATGATCTCAGTATGTGAATTTGAGTGAAACCGAGTACAAAAATCAGTACTCAAGTGAGAAAGAGTGAGTGAATTTGAGTTTAGAAACTGAATGTGAGTGAAGTCGGGCGCATAAACCAGTGCTCGTGTGAGATTGAGATTGAATGGAACATAATACATAGATCAGTACTCTAATGGAGTGAGAGTGAGTAGGGCTGTAATCGAGCCGAACCGAGTCAAGTTTTGAAGTGTTTAGGCTTGGCTCGGCAAATCCTAGTCATGTTCGAGCTCGGCTTGAGTTCGGCCGAGCGTGGCTCAGCCATGATCGAGCTCGGCTCGAAGCTGTTTGATGAGCTCAAGTACGGCTCGAATCAAGCTCGTTTACACTGTAATGCATCGTCGAAACAGCATCGATCTTCAGTATTCACCACGATGGATGATCGGCATCGTCGAAACCTAAGCACCGATCTTCAGTTTTCACCACGATGATACTCAAATTCACAAATACCCCATGGGATATGAGAGAAAAGAGAGAGATAACATAATAAAAGAAAGGGGTTGATGAGATGATAAAATATAAAAAGAGAAAGAGAGGGAAGTAAGATTCGATGATAAAATACAGTAAGAGAGAGACAGAAGATCAAGTCCTTGAAGTGTCCATGGAGTCTGGTGTTCGCTGGCAGATTGCTGAGTGTGTTGCCGCTGCTGCTTGGGCTACTGATAATTTTACAAAAAGGGAAGATGATTAGGGTTAGACTTTAATAAGACATGGGCTTGGGTTGGATTGTACAGATGGGCTTGGTTTTTGTTTTAAAATGAATAAATGATAAAATTAGGTTGGGTTGGGTTGGGTTGAGTTTTACATCTAAAACAAAAAGGACTAAATAATTTAATGGGCCTGTGGACTAAGCCTTCATAAAATAAAATTATAAAATTATCTCTATAATCTTCACGAGCCCAAACAAGAACATGTTCACGAACATATGAGCCGAGCCGGATGTTGTTTGAGATTGGTTTGTTTATTAAACGAGCTTGGAAATCTTGTTTGAGCTTGGTTCATTTACTAAGCAAATGAACATGAATCGAGTTCTTAACGAGCCGAACTCGAGCAGTTTGTCGAACGTTTGGTTCATTTACAGCCCTAAGAGTGAGTGAGAAATTGGGTACAAAAACCAGTACACCAATATGTGAGTGAAAGAGTTGATGATTGAGATTCACTACACTAAGCATTAGGGCTGTAATTGAGCCGAGCCGAGCCGAGCCGAGCCGAGTCGAGCTTTGGAGTGTTTGGGCTCGGCTCGGCTACTCCACAGAGGTGCTTGAGCTCGGCTCGAGCTTGATTGAGCTTCGAGTAGCCTAGATCGAGCTCGGCTCTCAACTGTTTGAACGAGCTCAAACGGCTCGACTGAAGCTCGTTTATGTGCGCGTCACCGGTGGGAGTGAAAAAAAAATCATCGTTATTATCTGATCTGTTTCACCCTACCGTTCAGTTCACAGAGAGAGAAAGAGAGAGGGACTCACTGAACCATTTGGCAAAGGATCTGTATTGCTTCTGTTTCCACTGAGTTGCAAAACTAGTAGCCTGAGGTTGTTACTCCAGCCATAACCTTAGGTGGAGGTAGACTAGTAGCAAAACCCATTTGCCTTCCTAAATTTTGCATCCGTTGCGTATAGATTTTGGTGGTTGCGGCTATGGTTGTGTTTGAATGAGAGAGAAGGTAACTGCGTCTAGGGTTGTTTGGGAATGAGAGAGGCGATATGATATAGATAGCTTTGCACTTGGGTTAAAAAACTAAATAAAAATAGAGAGATTTACAGTGGGCTGGATAATAGAGATGGACTTGGGTTTTGGGCCACTTCATTTTTAGAAGTAATATATGTTGGGTTGGGTTGGGCTGAGCTTAGACTATTATACAAGTTAAAATGATTTTAAATACGAATAGTTACTAAGCATATTGTTAAAATACCAAAATTTATATAATATAAATTGTATATATATATTCGAGCTCAAAACAAGTTGTTTGACAAGCTTGTTCACGAACATGTTCATGGACAAATGAGCTGAGCTGAGAGTTGTTTGAGATTGGTTCATTTAATAATCGAACACATAAATTTTTTTTGAGTTTGGTTCATTTATTAAACAAACGAAACCGAGCTTTTAACGAGCCGAGCTCGAGCTTTTTGTCGAACGTTTGATTCATTTACAGCCCTACTAAGCATAATTCCCAATCCACAGAGATGATCATTGAGAATACTCAGATCAATTTCTTTTGATGGCTGAAATTGCTCGTCAGATGAACCATAATCAAACACTCATACATTTATGTTTATAAGGTCCATAATATACACCTTGAGTCGTGCTTTTACCATGAATTACTTATTCCACGACTCTAGGTTGTGAGATACACTGTTGTATCAGTCCATTAAGCGCCAAATCATTATATCTGGTTACTACAATCTTTTATGTACACTTTTAGAGAAGTCCAGGTTGTTCACTTGGCAAATGGGCTGATGGTGGAGCAATGTATATGGGTTACTTCTGAGCCCTTAAAAGAGTAGATGACCCTATATGGGGGCAAATGGGGTTGCTTTTCACCCAAAGAGAAGCAGCTAGTGAATCCTCATGGATGTACGCGTGGTACTGAACCATTAAAAAACCTTGGTGTTTGTTGGCTTGCATTTCTCTAGCCATTACCTTTACTTCTTCAGCTAATTCATTTATTTATCATGCCATTCTGTACTTCTTTAATTATACTGCTTTCGTATGTCCAAATAACGTAAATGTTAAGTATAGCTGTTTTGCGAAATAGACCAGTAAGGCAGAATGCATCCACGCGTAGGTTAACCCAACTTTTCGTTTTTACTCTTCCTTATCTGCTTAAGCTTTAAAGTTGTAGTCTGACTGTTGTATAGGCAAAGAGAAGAAATTTTTTTTGATAAATAAAATTCGATTAGAAAAGCATTCAAAAGGGGAACGCGTCCCTAATACAAAAAACGAAAATTGAACCTAAGAACCAGTAGAGTCCAAAAGGTCAACTAAGTTAACAGTCGAGGAGCAATCGCTTCCTTACACATAACAGAAAACAGAACGAAGAATATGCATTTTTAAAGTCGCAACAGACGCTTCCTTTCCTTCAAAACTTCTGTTATTCCTCTCTCTCTATATACACCACCAAACACAATGTGGAACTATCCTCCAATAGTCACGAGCATGGCTTTTCATTGGGCATCTTCTCCATGCGTTAATCAATCCTATGGAGGATTGGGGCATTACCCAATGAATGCCAAAAATGCCAAGGATGAGGTTCCAACAATCATACGTCACAGGACAGTGCATAAGAATGTGATCCACAGACTCACCATCTGTTTTGCATAGACAACACCAATTAACAATGGTGTTGCCTCTCTTCCTCAAATTGTCTAACGTCAAAATCTTGCCCTAAACGGCAGTCCAAACAAAGAAAGCGACTCTAAGCGGAGCCTTAGAACGCCAAATAGTCTTCCATGGGAAATCATGATCAATGAAATTGGACAAACAAAGGAACGTGGACCGAACACCAAATCTGCTATGGGTGGATGGAACCCACAAAATGTCATCACTACCTCTGCCAACATCCTTCTGCTGATACAACAAATCCAAAAAACACATACCTCGTCCATCTCCCAATCCTGGAAAGAAAGCCTAAAACGCACATCCCACGCGACCCCGCTGCTATCAAGCCGATAACAGTCAGTAACACAGATAGGCAAAGAGAAGAAATAAAAGCCTGTGTCATTTATGTGAACTGATTTATGGGATTTTAGTTTGAACAGATTATGCAACCAATCTCTCAAGTGAATTATCATAGCTACTCATCTTGTGCTTAAATAGGATACATAATATACTTGTGTCTCACATTCAAGTATAAAGAAGCAATTCTTCATCCAGCTCAATCCTTTCTTTTGACTCAGCTCATATTTCCAACGTAATCATCCTGGTAATCAAGGATGATATGTTTGTCTTTCATAATTGCAATTCACAATAAGGACCTTAATTTAATAGGAAAGCATAATTCAAAGGTATCATACTAAAACACCATCATAGATCTCGTTGATCATAAGTTTAGGAATTCAAGAGTGAATCAAATCAAGAATTTACCATATTTTGTTAGAAGACCTTATTCAACCCCCCCTCTAGGGTCCTTGCCTGGGCAATAATAGGTAATCTGGAATATATTTTTTAAAATAATCAATAGATGTTTAGCCCTCTATAGAAAGTTACTAGAAACGATTAAATTTTACTTCTAGTGATTGATGAATGAGAAGATTGCTACCTTCAGTTTTTAAATTAGAATCTCATTCTTGATGTATTCATATATATATTAGGGCTAATTTCAAAAAACCTCCACTACTTTCAAATTTTGATCATAAACCCCCAACCTATTTCAGAAAACCCCTAACACTATTAAAAGTGATCACATTATCCCAATTTTGTCAGGTTTGTTGTTTTTTTTTAGTTGGTACTCACACACACATGCCTTCACCGAGACTTGAACCCCTGACCTCCCTTTAGGAAGTAGGAGTCCGGTACCGCTAGGCTACTGGCGTGTTGGTTGTCAGTTTTTAATGTTAAATGTGCATGTGATGGTCACGTGCTCTTGCAAATCCTATTTATGACCAAACTGCCCCTTATTGAGCATGTGCCAACCATTTACCATGGGTTCGTTTTGTTATTCCAAAAATACCCTCATCCTTTCACCTGTATTTCACTCTCTCTCTCTTCACCGTAAATGACTCTTATCACATAAGGTGGACACCCAAGACTTCTACGACAACAATTGTCTATTTCGTCAATCGACCTGCTCCGACAACACCCATCGCCTTCAATCAACCCTTCTTCCTTGGTGATCTCCATCATCGTCACCTTCCTCGCCCGGGTCAACTCAGTTACCTCCAAACTCGGTGTCAAACTCACCAAACCAACCCAAACCACAAGACCCAGAAGCCAAGAAAATTGGGTCTTGTGGGTATGTGCAATCCAAACACTACTCCCGCCATAGTCGTAATAGAGCAACTAAACCTAACACCATGCACCCATTTGGGTCTTGTGGGTATTTGCCATCCAAACACCACACCCACCATAGACGCAACAAAGCAACCAAACCAAACACCATTAACCCAATTGGGTTTATAAAGTATTATACACCCTAATGTCCTAGACCATTTAAGTTGCTATATATATATAGTTAGTTAGTTAGTTTGTATGTCTGTGTGTATGCTATCTTTAATTTCATGTCATTGATTTTCTCCAATTTGTTGTGTTTACTGCAATACCTTTATAATCAGAAAATTTCAGATGTTGTGCATGACTTGTTCAATTAATTGGTATTTCCTAATAATAATAATAATAATAGTTAAAAATAAAAATAAAAAACCCAGTAACCTTCCGTCTTCCCATGATCCATCACTTTGGTTTCTATTTATACTGTTGGTTTTTTACCTAAAGCTCTAGTAAAGTCACAATTGCAACCTGTGGTTTTCCACTGCATCTCATATCTGTCAATTGGTTGCAAAGAATAATGAACTTATGGCATATGCCACCGTATTAGAGACAATTAGACTTCTTTCTGGAGCACTTGGAATGTATGAAGAACTGTTTTCTGTTTCAACTACATAAAGAGTGTCCATGAAGTCCATGTATATAACTTCACCATTAGTATTTATGAAGTGTGGAAATTTCTTGTTTGAGAATGTAATATGAATTACATGAAGAGTGTCTGCTCTCCTAACACCACAGCACAATGTAACCAACATTGGATGATGGCCTTTCCTTACTTGCTGCTAAAAGGATTCATTGAATGCATGTGCTCGTGAGGGAACCATTTAGTAACCCTGCTAGACATATTGCCTTCATTAAAAGCTTTATCAACCATGTCCATTACATTAACTTTTTTGTTATGAAAATTGCTTGGATTTTGTCTTGTGCATGATCTGTTTATATAAGAGTTGGATTTTACCTGTTTCATTAGTAATGTTGTTCATTCTGCAACATTGTTCATAATTTGGAATCAAAGATAGAGATAATTAAAAATAATAATAGAACATTGAAATAGATGAATTATCGGTATCACATTGCATGGTTATCCTTGACTGTAAATTTTATGAAATATATTTGGTGTGCTGTTCAGCTGCACTTTGATGCATGGTTATCCTCGCTCCAAATGGGATTGTTTGCGGGTTTCTTTATTAGTTCCTATGCCTGGAATGCCTCTGTAGTCTTTCTAATGCTAATGCCTTCTTCCTTCATTTTCTTTTAGTTGCGGTAGCTTCCAGGCCAGCAAGATAGGGCGGTTATCCTTGCTCCAAAACGATGTTTCTTTGAAGGAATTCCTTGTTGGGTTATTAGCAGTTTTTATAGTGCGAAGTAGTACAGATGACACTTTAATTACCCTTCTCCAACAACACAAAATGATGCAGGTTAGTCAAGCACATTGACCAAAGTTTTCGATTATCTGCATGTGGATACTTTCTGATAAAAAAAATAGCTCATATTTTTCTCTTCTTTCTTTTAGAAAGGAAAATTGTAGTTTTTTTGAAGTAATACTTTTGTCGTTCTTGACGAGTAAGGCCTGTCTCAGTGATTAGACTAGCTGTTGCAGGTGAGGAATGGGACCTCCATGGACGAAGATGACAACAAAGATGGTGATGGTGGTGATGATGAAGGCAGCGGTGGCGGTGATGATGTAAAGGGTGGTGAACGTAGATGTGACACGCATAATGGAGCATCCACCGCTGCAACAGATTCAGTTACACTCTCGATGTAACTGATGCAGAGAAACACAGAGAATACTGGAAAAAAGAGATCAGTGGAAGTGCTTTCTTTAGTTTGTTAGTTTGTATAACAGATATAGGCCTCATTTGGATGGGCTTTTCAAACGCTGCTTTTAGCTTTTGGGGGCTTAAAAGCGCTTTTAGTTCATAGAAGCCCCTGTTTCCCAACAGACTGGTACAGAACCAAGAAAGTTTCATCTCAGTTTGGTCCCTTCTTTTAATGCTGAGATCAATGGAAGGATTTGAAGCTGCATTTTATATTAGTGGAGATGATTTGGTTTCAGGAATACTGTATCAGGTGATTCAGGTTACTGTGATGGAAACAAAGTTTGTCCCATTATGGATCATCTTTGCAGAGTTTGTTGAATCGAGTGTTTATAACCCTAACCTGTTTTTATCTGGCACTCTTATCTATTCAAATTAGCAAATTACACACTAGAATTGCATAATATTACATAATATGGATTGAATCTTGTGAGAACAATCATCGTTTGCTTCGGGGATTTTTTTTTTTTTCTTTTCTAGCCTTGGCAAGAAAGGTAATCCACACACTTGTTTTTAATAGAACTTGAACCTCTACCTCTAACTTTAGAAGGTGAGGCACCACTAGATTACAATCTTTGATCCAGTGCTTGGTAAGATTGTGTATTTGAAATTTTAATGGTCTCTAAAGAAAATAATAATAATAATAATAATTTCTTTATAGTAAAATATTGAATTGGGTTGCAAAGAATCTATATTTAATATATATTTTGAAATTAAATTAGAAGAAAAGTTAGTTTTAAATTTTGAACTACTACGCAGAATTTCAATTCCAAATTGGGGAAATCCCATTTTGCCAAATGTTGATTTTTAAAGGTTGTTAAAAAATAATATACTTTTTTTTTAGTTAGTAACGTTTCCCTTTTTGAAGAAAAATCAGAAATTGTGGCAAATTTTAATAAATATGGTTTTGACTAGTATTTGATGAGAAAATTAGAATAAAAATAGAAATAATTCAATGGTTAAGCAAAATTAATCTCCAGTTTCCAAATTTCCAAATCTAAATTTGCAATTTTTTCTTTTTTCTTTTTCTCAAGACAAACATCAAACAAAGGAAATCTCAACAAACGTTAGAGTTGAGAATAATTATAAAACAAAACACATATATTGAAAAAAAATCAAAGCAATCAAACTTTAACTAACTATTACAAACCTCAAGAGAATCAGATTCAAACCAGCACTTACACAACTGAAAAGTTTGAGCCCATTAACCTTCATTTATTAATTCATTCCATAAATGATAAATAGTTCTGTATATATTTAAATTTAATATTCGTAAATGGTAGTAATTATGAGCGAGGGTAAATGCGGTAATTCGAAGGAAAGAGGAGCGTCTTTGTAGATAAGAAATACTCCACTACAGAAATAAGTTGGTATAATAAATTTGAATTCCCGCTTAGAGACACCGCCTTTCAAAGTTTCAAAAAAAGTGAAAGATCAGATCATCCCTCCAAACTCCCAAACCCGCCAATCTCAACACACTCTCTCAACGGTCTCTCTCTCTCTCTCTACAAAACAGCACTACCTGTTTCATCACTTTCATCATTCTCTTCCTTCTCTCCTCTCTCCTCTCGACTCTCTCTCTAGACACACCACTGTGGAATCCCTTACATCCGTTACTTTCTCTCTCTACAAACACCAATCTTGCATCCATTCTTTCTCTCCACAAGATTCTTTTGCATCTCTCTCTTCAGCCGTAAATAATATTGTACAAAACCAGCATAATCTCTCTCTCTCTCTCTAACTGTGTGGTTAGATTTATGCTTAGATCTGTGCCAAAATGGCGTTATCGTTATCTGCTATGAAAGAGTCTGCATCTAGGGATTATACCTATTGCAGGAAACAGAAATCTCTTGGTCTCTTATGCACCAAGTAATTTTTCTCTCTCTAAAAATTCTCCCCCCCCTCTCTATAAATTCTCTTTTCATTTGGTTTTTTCATCTTTTTGTTAAATGATTTAATACAGTTTCCTGAGCTTGTACAATCGAGATGATGTGGAAACGATTGGACTAGATGAGGCCGCATCACGATTAGGTTTTAATCTGATCTATAATTTGCATTATATATATATATATATATATATATATATATATATATATATATATATGTATGCATGTATGTATATATGTATATGAATGTGTATGGATTATGTAGTTTTGTGAGATTGCAGGGGTTGAGAGGCGGCGGATCTATGATATTGTCAATGTATTGGAAAGTATTGGCGTAAGATCTCTAGCTTTCCCCCCTTTTGTTTCAGCATCTTGAATTCTACAGATTGTGTTTTTCCTGAGCCTATTAGGGTTTGATCCGTTCAGGTTCTTAGAAGGAAGGCAAAGAATCGCTATTCTTGGATTGGGTTTGGAGGAATCCCCAAGGCTCTGCAACAGCTCAAGGTTTTTTTTTTTTTAATTCATCTCTTTTGGTTCAATTATATGCCAGAGCTGACTTGAAGTTTGAATCTAGCTTTATGATTTTTACTTGCCCTTTATGCTCTGTCAGGAAGAGGGTTTGAGGGAGAATCTTTGTTCATTGGAGGGCAATAACAAAACAAAAGTATGTTAATGGAAATTGAGTGTCTTTTTGTGGGTACAATTTTGCATTTTGAGTTATTTCTTATTTAGCTATTTTTTTTACTTTCTCTTATTATTATTAGGTTTCAGTTGATGATGATGGTGAAGATGAGAAATTTTCCATTCTCAATACTTCGACTCAGAATGACAAGTCAAACCCTAATTCGAATCCTAAATTTTATGTGTTATCCAGAGCTGGTAATTTTATAAAACAACTACAATAGTCAGCTGCTACTTACTACTCTACTTAATATTTCAAGCAATAATTCTAGATTATATATAACATTGTACTGATTGGACTGGTCAGAGTTGCACTGTAATGTTATGTTGCAGTTCTGATAGAATGCTGAACTTAATTCTCTAGTGATGTTTTTTTGACAGATAACAGAAAAGAAAAATCTCTGGGACTTCTTACACAAAATTTTATCAAGCTCTTCCTTTGCTCCAATGTATGTTGGATTCTTAGATTGGTGTTTTTTTTTTTCCCTTTAATCGATTTTTTTTTTTTTTTTTGGATTGAGTTAATTCACTCTCTTTAGGTGGAGATAATCTCCCTTGATGAAGCTGCAAAAATTTTGCTTGGGGATGCTCATGATCCATCAACGATGAGAAGTAATCATTCTTCACTTTGTTTTTCCTATTCTGAAATTTTTAATGATGAAAATTATATATATATTCTTTCACTAACGCTCTAATTCATAAGATAACTCTGCAGCTAAAGTCAGACGGCTTTATGATATTGCAAATGTTTTGTCTTCCATGAATCTCATTGAGAAGGTACGTTATTGCCACTAATATTTGCTGAAAGAATAGGAGCAACTGTTAGGCATCAAACCAGCATATGTCTTAAATATAGTTCTATAAATTTGTACCTCACTTTTGAGTCATGAATGATGCACAGACTCACCATGCAGAAACAAGGAAGCCTGCCTTCAAGTGGTTACGTGCAAGAGAAACAATTGAGAATGTATCTGCAAGTGATTTGGTATTCAATGAGTCTAAGAAAAGGACATTTGGGACTGAGATTACAAATACCAGCTTCAAGAGGAGCCGGATGGTTTCACCATTTGATGGGAATTTAAATCAGGCTTCAAAGATGCAGTTGCATGCCCAAGTCAAATGTGAGGGTTCGGAAAATGAGGCTGATTGGAACAATGTGGAGCAGGATTCAACACAGGTCTTAAAGAATTACCAGTTCGGTCCTTTTGCTCCTGTCAGTGTGCCCAAACCCGGTGCTACCGAGAATGGAGTGAAACAAGCTCGTGATTGGGAAAGTCTAGCCTCTACCTATCGTCCTCAGTATCACAACCAAGGTATCACTTACTGCTTCATTATGCATTTAAATTATCCTTTGATGTTGTGCCATTTATCATATTCTTACCCACCTGATGATGATTACAGTTAACTAATGGGGCATTGCTAGTCTGGAAAAAAGATCATAAATTTGGCTCTGGAATTTGTTATAATTTACTATGTGCAAAAAATTTAGATTCTCACCAGGAATATTGCTAATTTTCTCCTCTAATATTATTTTATTATTTTCTTTGTCGAATGGTTTGGCTTCTGTTAAATCATTTTCTCCTGAGCTGGCAAAATATATTGATACACATTGGCTAGAGAAGAGTGTTTTTTTTTTTTTTTTTTGCTTTTCTCAGTTGATTTTTCTCCCTTTAGCTACTAGATTACAGTTCACTAAGTTTGAAAAGTCCAAAGCATGCATACTAACCGCATAGTTTGGACAGAGTTTTCTTAATAGCTTTTCACCTCTGAAGGTGTCAAAGGCCTACAAGCCTTAGTTAATCTGAAATCCATTTACTTGAGGTTTCAGAGAAAAAGACTGTTATTTCTATTTATGGATTTAGAAAGTTATACTATAAGCTTTTAGGGGTATGTTTACAGTGATCTTCCTGATCCCTTGTTTGTCCATGGTCTGAATTGTACAATAGGTTTCATACTGCCACACCACACTCATAATAACAATTTTGATCTCCCAATATAAGCCTCTTAAAGCTGGAGCAATGAATTAGATCCTCTAATTCGTAGTAATTTTTGAAATTACTAGTTTTAATTGGGAATATATCTTATAATATGTCCAAATGAGCATTGGCATTAAGTGTCCACTTTAAGTAACACCTATTTTTTTTCATTGCTTCTCTCAGTTTCAAGCTATGAGTTGCCTCAGAAACTACATCTGGTTTCTTTATGATTCTTCAGTGTTTCACATGGAAGCGTTGTAATCATGGTATTCTGAAGTTGCTGACAAGAACTCGATACAAATAATCTTTTAGCACTTCCCTACTCCACCAAAGTGCACTCATATTAGCGATTTTGATATCCAATATTGCCCTATAGCCACTGAAAACTAGAGCAATTGATTAAGATAGTCTAATTTATATTACTTTTTGAAATTACTCGTTTTAATTGGGAATACATCTTATAATATGTCCAAATGATCATGGCATTGAGTGCCCACTTTTAGTGACTCCCATTTTTTTAATTGCGTCTTTCAGTCTTGTGTTACGAGAAGCATCAGAAACACTAACTGGTTTTTTATTGTGTTTCAGCATTGAAAGATCTATTTGTTCATTACATGGAAGCATGGAGATCATGGTACTCTGAAGTTGCTGACAAGAACCCAGTACAACTAATCTCCTAATACTTCCCCACTCCCCCAATAGGATTCTTCAACTGATCAAAGTACACAACAATAGCACTGAGATACAATTCTTCTTTATAAATTGACAAAGAAGAGATGGCCTGATGTTGAATGCATATTCTCTATGCGTCGGCTGGAGTGGTTATCCTCGGGAGAGAGATATGGGTGGATGTTGAATGCATTCACATGAATGTAATGCTTGATTCTCAATTCATTTCTTAATTTGTTTCTGTTTTGATACACACCTTCACGAGGATGTCTACTGTCATTCTTTCTACTTTGACTTAATTTGAATATAATGGTTTAGACCAGTGGTTGTGCCTTTCAAATTCAGGCTAATTGACAAGCTTCATATGCTTATTAGAATACTTTCGGAGACCTATGCATTTGACAAGTGAAAATCAGGTATCACTTGGTGGCAAAGGTTAAATACTTTTCACTAGTCTATTAACCCAAAACCTTGGATCTTGTTGTTCCTAGATTCTTAGTAAGCCTGCAATGGAACTATAGTTGCTGGTGTAGAATGTGCATAATTCTTGAGAACACGATAATAAGTCATTGGACTAGCAAGCACTCATCTTATGCAGGAAGACAGATTCTTACTTGTGAGCTCCCACATCTTCTGGTCATCCATCTTTATCCTTCCCAAGTGTAAAAAATGAGCTTAACTGCATTTTCAGGAGGTGTCTTTGGTCAGGTACTGAAATGAAGGAGTCAGGTGCTATGCTTGGGAAACAATATGTAAGCCTACCTGAGAGGGGTCTTGGTATCCCAAAAATAGTGATATCCAACAGGTTAGGTGTTACCAGGGGAAGACTTATCTCACATCGGATTCGGATGAGAAGTAAAATGGGTATATATGTAAATTGCGTGTTAGTGCCACAAAATAGTTTAAGTTTTTGGGTCGGATCGCGAATCACCCAATTTGTTACAGTTGTTATCAAAGTCAGACCCAGACTCAGTTCTTGATCTTGTGTCACGCCAAGCGTCCGGCTTGGCTTGGAGGGCGTCGTAAGTTCGGGTTGGGGAGAAATTGAGAATGTTACAAGAGGAGCCTTGTCTCACATCAGATTCGAATGGGAAGTGAAATGAGCATATATGGGTTGAGTGTTAGTTCCACTTAATAATACCTTCGGTCTGTTACATTTAACATTACGAGGCACGTTTGGGAGATTTTGATGACAAGAAGCAAAGAATTTTTGGGTTAAGTCGATGAAAAATTACCTCAAGCTCACGAAGCACCGGTCCATTACATCTAGCATTATGAGGCACATTTGAGATTCTTGATGACAAGAAGCAAATAATTTTTGGGTGAAGTGAGGTGAAAAATTACCTCATCTATCTCAATCTGGGAGCTCAAAAATCCTCATAAATAATAGTTCTTGGAGTTAGAGGAGATTACGACTCAGGAAATCACACTCTTTCCTTCCATCGATTATTCTAAAAACAATCTTCTACTGGAATGCCAATACTGCAGCCAAAATGTCAACAAGAATCTCCCTTGGCATCGACTGTTTATCATCTTTGGGAGGAAAGAAATGCTCGAGTGTTCTGCAAAACCCGATCCTCTCAGAACTCTCTTCTCGACAAGATTGTGCAATCCATTACCATGAGACTAATCGCGCGCCCAATGAAAGGAAAATGTTTCATCTCAAAAAGTCATGCATGACTGGAATTTACCTCCCTCGTGCATTCATCACCCGCCGGAGCCACCCGATCGGATTGCCACAGAGCCCCAAGTTTCAATCATTGAGCTTTGTATTTGGTACCCACCGGAATTGTGTTTCAATAGTGCACCGGCTAATTGAATAGCCTTTTGGGCTGGACTTTTGTTTATAATGTGTCCTAGCCTAAACTTAAATGTCAAGAGTAAATTTCTACAATGCCAGTGGTGAAGGTTACAGTTAATGCTTGCCTATCCACCACCGGTAAACTCCTCCGGACCGGACAGGTGAGGGATGAACAAGCCTACACGCTACATCACCTTCATTCTGTAACAATGAATGAAAATCCCTCCCATTTCTCTAATGCCTGGAACGTAGAGAACGGATAAAAACTTTTACAGAGACCTGCCAGCTAATAATATGAAGAGTAAGTAACATCAATTGTTGATCTACAAAATGTAAATAATGTAAATTGGGGTGCTCTGTCTCAATTTGGCATAATAAAAGAACCAAGGATGGGATGAGAAATGTCACTACCAAACATTCCATAATAGAAATTTGTAAATTGTAATTGTTGTAATAGCTACAAAGTCCAAGTCCACCATAACTAAATGCATCTCAAAAACCAAATGAACAAAATAGAGGAATCAAATTTCTATTATTCTAATTCAGAAGATGTTCATTTACAAATTGTAATAAAAAATTAAGTAGCAATCGCAATAACATATATATATCTATATATAAGTGATAGGATCCCTCTTTGTCTTGCTTTACTATAGTATAATTTCTTCTTGAACACTAACATTTAGAGTCTTGTTGGGAAGGACAATGCTGTTGACCACAACTACTTCATCTTCAACGGTCACAGCTTCACCTGGATCAGGGAAGAAAAATCACTTGGGACTATGTACTTCACAAATGAATTTGAAATTATGAGTAAAATACGTCGAGAAAGTACCAAGAATTGTAATTCCAAGTTTTGCATTGTAATCTCCTGCAGCCTGAAATCAATTGATCAAACTTGAGAAATCTACAACTACAAATTGAAAAGGACAAGAAAAAGGACAGAAGGCTCTTTCCTTTCACCGCACCAAGAGTTACAGAACTAGAAAATTCTTTCTTGTGAAGTAGAAAAGGGAATGAAAATTAGAACAATCTAGGGAAGACGAGAAATCCATGCAAGAGAAAATGGAGATTTACTTTAGCAACCTTAAAGGGAAAAGACAGAAAGTCTTGACCTTTTAATCCAAAATCTTAATATAGGACATGCATTTTTCAACTATGATATCTATTGTTTACTTTACCAACCTTAATGTCGTATGGTCTGCCTGGATTACATTATAGTGATAAGAAGATGAAAGGAATAATAGTAAAAAATAAATAAAAAAAACATTGGGAAAGAAAATGGGTGCTCCAAACTCGTCCAATCCTGATCTAAACAGGAAAGATGATTCTTTTGGATCCTAACATGGAGTAACTTGATTGGTTAACGAACAACCTTTGTGATGCTAAAAGGCAGTTTCTCTCAAACAACAAGAATATCATTACAAGAACTTTCTGGACTTGCCTGGACTCGGGACCATCTCCCTATAGAAGATTTCCATCCAACGATTGCATGAATAACAACAGCATTCTCCTGAGAAAGTTAAGTTATAAATGTCAATTCCTAGGCAAAAAGTTACTCATGCTGTTCATATCTTTTAATTTGGTTGAATACCTTGATTTCAACATCATCAAGGATGATACAACTAATGAGCCTCACACCTGCTCCTATACGAGCATTTGCAGAAACTGATACATTCGGACCAATCTGTTCCAAAGTTGAAACAAAAGAATGAGTTCTATAGATTAGGAAAATAGTTAGCCAGAGCAAGACCACAACTAAGGATAATTGCCAGCCACTGTCTGCAAGAGGCACTTCATCTTAATTTTTTAGCAAGTACCTGTGTGATAAAGCTTCAAACAAATTCAAGAATGGACAAAAAATTAGAGGGAAGTGGGAACGAGAAATTGGCCTACATCTGATTATTCATGGTAAATCAAGAGCAAATAATTGTTTCTGTTTCCAAGTCCAGCTGACCATCAAAAGAAAAGGTGGGAAGAAATAACCTACTTAAGCCCATTAGTTTCCTTCCAAGGTGTAGATTTCCAGGTAACATATATAATCCATTTGAAATTATTTTTAAATTACATTCAAGTAATGCAAAACTAGCATACATTCATGCATTACACGAGGTGTCAACCTGTTTAAGCATGGTAAGAATGATATTAATGTCTAAGTTATGGTATTTCAAGCAGCATCCATGTATCATGAACTAGGAAAGATTGGAAAAAGAGAATCCATGTGGCCGAAACTGTTTGTACAGGATACAGGCACGGATGATGATGATGATGACAATGACCCATGTATCATGAACATGCATCACAATATACAAATTATTATATTTATCATTATAAGACAGAATACTTGCATGCAACGGTATTATTCTTAACTCTTATATAATTCCAGAACATTAAGACGATGTCATATTGAGGAGATTGCGTCAATCTTCAATACTTGAGTCAAAGAGTTTGAAATAAAATTACCTTGGCAGTTGGATGTACTTTTGCTGATGGATGAATATAAACATCACCAACAATGGTGGCACTCTTTATACCATCTCCACTTGCCAAAAAATGTCGGGAGGTGAACCGAAATTGGGCAAGAAACAGAGCAGAACATTTCAAAGACATGCTGAAAAAATATAACTAGAAAAGAGTCACAAGTTGCACTGCTAAAGAGGAAAAAGGAGACATTTAAACAGTGCAGGCTTACCCAGGAGTCTTGATTTGTTCCCAGAAGTCCATTGTTTCATATGTATATAACTGCTTTTTTCCTGCAAGAGGTGATAGGATATCTTGATCCAGTCTTACAAAATCTGTAGGAAGACTCCTGTTAAATAAACTTGTATCAGGGAGGAAACTGAAAGAAATCATTTCATACTATTAAATCAAATGCAAAGGTAGCATAATAACCATATCCTCAAGTAAAATATTACTTTAGTATCTAGTAAAAGTAATTTAGTACTTGTCATTAAATACTTTCTATCATATGATACCTTTATGGTGTCTAAATCAGGACCAAATACATATAACCCCCAAAAATCCCCAGGCCTAGTAACCTGTCTCCACATGTTTTTGTTTTAAGGCAGTCACTTTGTGCAAAAACGTAAAAGGTTAAGTATTTACGTAATTCGTCCCTTCCAAACTCAAATTGATTGGACAAGCCAGGTGTTTCCTTCATGTTTGAAGGCACTTACTTATTATTTTAAATAATGACATATGAGTCAACCTGGACTGGATATACTTCTCAGTCGGATTCAGCTTTTCCAACCAAACCAAATTACGTCAAATTTGTCCTAATTGAGACTAGGCAGAACAGGTTACCGTTCGACTGTCTAAAAGGGGCCAGAGATGGTAGGCAAGTTCCATCCAAAATCATTATCACATTTTCTAGAGCATACCCATTTTTTTTTTTTTTTTTCTCTCTCTCTTAAATCAGATATCTACACAGTAGCTGTAAATGTGTTGACTACTTTGCCATTAACAGTGAAACAAGGTTATATACTTTTAGTTGACATTTTCATCTGCTTTCCCCATAGACTCAGCTAGGCATATTGGGTGAAAGATCAAAGTGCAGTTTTTCTTTTTCTTTTTTTTACCTGTTAGAGGATTTAAATATTAAAGTTACACCCTCTCTAACAACTTAAGCTTATAGAGTAGATAGTGGTTATTTATCAAAAAAAAAAAAAAATTTATAAAATAAAATATTTATCAAAAAAAAGAGTAGATAGTGGTTAACATGGAATCAGAGTAGGCAAGGTCCTGAGTTCAGATCTCACCCTCACCTAATAATTAAAATTGAAACACGTGTTGGCCCAGAAAAATGTGTTAGAGGATTTAAATATTAAAGTTACACCCTATCTAACATCTCAAGCTTTTAGAGTAGACATTGGTTAGCAATACCAAAGGCCTCATAGCCTAATAGATATTAAGTGAGAAGTTTTGGGCTGGTGTTTAAAAGGGAAGGGGTTATTCTTACTGCTGTCGGGTGAGAGAAAACAGAGAAAAAAAAAAAGAAGTAATCCCCATTACAGTCTCCCCACTAATTCACCATACACTGATTTTTCTCAATAGCATGCCGAGAGTTATGTAACCAACTAGAAAAATGATAAAACAAACAAAATGGTGTCAATTTTCACCATAAGATATTTGAGGCTTCTAGATAAAAAATTATTTTTTTCAGCTTATAATTACCTTTCTTCCAATTCCCAATTAGCATATTATGTAATTGACCAAAATGAAAAGATAATTACACAGTAACCCACTTATCTTTCACTCCATTAGAAGAATATGTTAAAATCAACACAATTTCTTGGAAGAGATTTACTACTGACATAATAAGCTGCTCATATGCTCTACAGTGGCAAATTAAAACATCATATAACAAGACTGTCTCAGGCTCCATTTGTTTGAGTGTAAAATATTTTTCGGAAAATATTTTCTGTGTTTTCTAGTGTTTGGTTGTTGTAAAATATTTACAAAGAAAAAAATAATAAAACCTAACAAAATAACTTATTCATTAATTTTTGGTAGGCTATTTTACACGCCCCACCCGATGGACTCGACCTCAACCTTGACCTAGACCTTTGCCAAATACCGAAAAATAAAAATAAAATAAAACATTTTACATGAAAAAAGAAAATATTTTCCTTGGAAATATTTTAAGTCGAAACATACGGAGCCTTAATGTTACCATTCCGAAATTAAGAATAAAATAACTTTGGACAATTTTTCTTTTTAAAACAAGTGGACGTTATAAGCGAAGAGAAAGGTCATACCTTGCTGTAAATTGGAGGGCTTCAAAACTGGAGGCACGTCTTAGATTAGCTGCAAACAGTTCTAACATCAGTATCATGAGTGAACACGTCTCTCCAGCAATTATGTTTCCTTATCATCTAAAGATTGACATCACAAATCTATAGTTTGGTAGGAACTTTAATACCATCAATGCTATTCTACATGAAACTAGGGAAGGGACTGGGTGCTGTTCGGCCCCAAATGTTATCACATATGGTTACACAGAAAGGAGGAATATTTATAAATATTTTCTAAGAAAGAGAGGATATGAATTGGATAATAAATCTATAATATAATTATTCTATGCTATGAATTAAAATTAATTTATATTTTTGAGACTTATATATTGTAATATAAAATTTGTTGTTTCGAGACAAAAAAGACAAATCAAGTTCTCATATGGATACCCTGAATTATGGAAAGAGAAAATAATCAGGTTAAAAAGTTGCAAAATACATAAAATATAAATATGGAGCTACATATATATATATATATATATTGAAAAGTTTTCACGACTCCAAGCAATAGGATTTGACATTGTGTGAAGATGAGTTAAGCATCTCACAACTGATGATAATGTAACTTATACTAAAACCAAGTAGTAGATAAGATAAAGTTTATATCTAATTAGTAAGTTCTCATACAAAAGATAAAAATTACAGAACAACAAATTGTCAAAAGCACCTTGAGGATGGCTTGACTTGGGGCAAGATACAATTATAAGACAAAATATGGTTTGCCTGAGCTATGGCCTAAGATAGAGCACAATGGGAAAACATGATTTATGCAGATGACCCTAAATTGTCGGGAAAAAAAAGCTTTATTAAATTGAGTATCATTCCCAAATTGTAAAATGATGGAGTTTCATATTTTGAAATGTAACTTAACATGCCCAATAATTTTTTATTTTTTATTTTTAAAATAAAAGAAAGAAAGAAAGAAATAAAGAAAGAAAGAATCTAACTTGCCAAAATGTTGCCGTACAGCTTTTGGCAACATATGAAAAAGGCCTCACTGACCTCTGTCTTTCCGTTGTGAGGAAACACCTTGAATGGCAGTGAAAATATCTGGTGTAAATACGTAAACACCACAATTTATTCGGTCGCTTACCTGAAAAATTAACAACAGTAGACTAAAATAAAACAGAATGGCAAACAAATATGATTTTTTAACTCATAATCTAGAATTAAAAAGCAAAAAAATGTAGTATGACACTGTACGTACAAAAGTTTCAGGTTTCTCTGTGTAATGCAACAACTCATTGGTTATGGGATCAGCCACCAGTTCCCCAAACTGGTTTGCTGACTCAGCGGAGACCTGCACGGGAAATTAGAATTGAACCTAGCATGTGAGAGGACAAATAATTCCAGAAGACAAAAGGATGATGTACAAGCAGAAATTCTCTATTCAGACAGCCTCTCCATATGCTTACCAACCTTGATCACCAGGATTGTTCCCATCCCACCATATCTTTTGTGAGCATCTGCAGATGTGTAAGGCAATGTGCAGTAATTAAAATTTCTGATCATCAAGCGCAACATAATAATTAACAACCGCGGTAATTAAGATTATGGCCTAGCTTACATAACAAAGAATCAATATATAAAACAGTTTTTGCCAGTGAAAATTTGGAAGGCACAATGTGAGCAAGTAAAGAGTATTACCAAGCATCTCAGGAAGTGGAAAACTGCAGCAGACATCACAGTTCAGCAAAAATATATGTGACTGCAAAGCAAATTACAAAGACAATATTAAAACTCATGATTGAGAATGAATAAGAGATAATTAAAACTTTAAAAGCAATGATTTTTTTTTTTTTCCCTTTCCTTTTTCCATTGATGTCAAAGCAAAAGTAACAAAACTACCAACACTAAACATTTAAAAATGAAATAAATATAAAATTTTCAATTATGATAGGGGTAAAGAGGGGCCATTGCACAAAGAAATGCTTTTAGTTTTGGCTTCCAAGCAATAGAAGCACATTTGAGCCCAAAAGTTGCCACTTTGTGCAAAATGATACTGCAAATTAGGCTACACTTAAGCCACCCCTCCCAGCACTCTGGAAAGGCGGGGAACCAAAAGAAGGTAATGGCCTTTAACTATGATAAGTGAGGGCAAATACCGGGTTGTCTTCCATGATCAGATCTCTGAAGTTATAAAGTCCACCAGCTGACCCATGTGGCTTGTCCTCTTTCAAGTATCTAATAACATCATGATCAACAAGATAGAACACTGAGAACCAAAATTCAACAGCCATTTTTGAAGTGTAAACAAATTTTAACTTTACCAAGAGGTTACCTGACAGGTACTTTAAGCTCATTAGAGATTGAAGAGACATATAACGCGAATTCTCGCTCCTCGTAGAAACCAACAAGATAGATCTGTGCTAAGTTTGGAATCTACACCAGAGAGTAATAAAAATGGCTATGATATCCATATACCACAAACTACATGCAGCCAAAAATGGATCTTTTAGTTTGCTCATGTAGATTAAATACCACATGCTGTAAAAGCATAATTTAGAATTATAACAGAAATAGTAATCTCAAAACTCTGCATATAAATAAAACATAAATAAGAAAATAACCTATCAATTTTGATGTTCCTTACATGAAATCAAAAATATAAATTTACTTTAATGAAAAAAATCATTCAAGAATATACGTACTCTTTTGCAAGCAGAGATTGGATGATGAACCATAGGCTGTCCAGCAAGTGGAAAAAGTGGCTTTGGAATATTCAATGACAATGGCCGGAATCGAGTACCTGCATATCAAATTAAAATATTTATTACAACAATTCAAAGAAAATGAACAAGAGGGTCTCATTGGTCTGCACAAAACCAACACTTCTGCCAATTTATGTATATATTGCAAGATGAATCTCATTATATGTAACAAATTTGAAATTGCCTGATTAATATCAAACTATTAAAGGAAGATGTCAACAAAATTGAAAGGATAAAAGGAAAAGGTCATATCATTCAATTCTAAAAGGTCAAAAAGTTCAACATACTAACCAAACTACCACTACTCAAAAAAATGTCAATTCAATTCTAACAAGTCAAAAAGTTCACAACACTAATCAAACCACTACTCAAAAACTATGAACCAAAAGGGTGTCATTATCTAATCCAAAACATCAACAGCCAAGCATTTTTCAGAATCTATCAATAAAATTCAATAAGGACGAGAAAGGGTCTCATTATATTCAATCCAAAAAAAACAATGCTTTAAGAGCAGAAGAATTCCATACCTTTGGTCGGCCCACCCACCATGATCACAGCAACCACTCTTTCCTCTGAGCTCCCCATCCCTCACAAATACAAACCCTAGATCTCTAATCTATAAACAAGACCTTAAGTGAACAGCTTCAATACAATATAAGTCAGCTCTTATTCGTAACCACCATATAAATTCATAGTCGGCAGAGATCCCAAACTCTCTTTCTATATATATATATAGATAGAATATATTAAAAAATAGTGTATATACGTATAATTCACGTGATTGATTGGTTCATTCCCCGAAAAGAGGTTCAATTATTTTAAAGGCAAAAATGTTAACAGTGATAATGTAGAGAAGAGAAGGTGAGCTCAAGAGACAGCACTGAAGCACAGTACAAAAAGTATAAAGAATTTGAATTTATAATTATAGAGAAAGTGAGGAGATCCACTCGGTATTGGTACTAAGAAAGAGATTTAGAGAGAGAGTGAGACAGATCTAATAATACCTGGTGGAGACGACTCAACAACGCCACCACCCGCTTAACGATAAGTACGCAAGGGGCCAAAAGGGTGCGAAGTTTCCTCTCTCTCTCTCATGTGTCCCTTTTTCTTTCTCTCTTTTTTTCTTCAAGTCTCTTGTATGTGTTTGAATGAGATACTATATCATATTGTTAATGTTAACATCATGGAATAAAGGAATTATATAAAATAAAATCATACTAACTAGTGAAAGAAGTGACATGTCATCTATAACTTTTGATTGTAGTGACTAATTTACCAAATGAATTTTTGTATAAAATTTTGATTTTAACATTTCTACGGTTTTTCTTTATTTTTTCCTTGCCACAAAATTTTTTTATTTTTAAGATAAATTACACTGATCTATCCTAAGATTTGGGTAATAGTGCGTTTGGTAACGTTTTCGTTTTCTATTTTTGTAATCTTAAGAAAGCAGAAACATGATTTTGCTTTCTTTAGTGAAAATAGAAAGCATAAATGATGTTTATTAATACTTGTTGTTGCCACAAATTTGAAAACATAAAACAATAACTATGTTTAGTAATACAATATATTTGTTACAAAATGTACATAATATTCTTTAATTTTTTTTATTTTTTTCATGGCAAGAATTTTAAGAATTAGTGATTATAGAGGAGGGTAGATGACTTGAATACGAACTCTCAGACACAGGGAGCAATCCAACCACTCAGACACTTGCTTCCATTAATATCAAAAAGCCATAAATCTAGAAAATCTAATTTAAAATTATAAATCTTAAAAATACCCAATACACTATAAGTACAAAATTAGATATACTAAGACAAAAATATTCCCACCAATTATGTATATAAATACATGTATATGCATGATGTATACATTTTTTATGTGATATATAATATATTTAGCATATGATAATTTATTATCAATAAAAAATATTAAATAATATATCTTATACGTAATAAAATATATATTATGTTATAATATTGTAAATTAAATATAATTTAATATTTACATATAATATAATATAGATATGATATATAATAATATAAAATATCTACTGCTTAATAATTTAATAACATTATATTCTATATCAAAAATTATTTTGTCACAAAAAATAATTTACATTATTATTTAATATACTATATATTAAAATATATTTTTATCAAATAAAAAATAATATACAATATTTTATATATTCTATATTAAAAAATATATTTTTATTAACATTTAATATGCAATTTAGTATATAACACAAATAATAAGAATTTTATTTGAAATGAATATTGCCTGTGCAGTAACATTAGTGAAAATGTTTCTGCACGACAATGCCAAAAACATAAGAAACATCATTTTGATGTTTCCTCTTTTCTTCACAAAAATTGAAAACGTTTTCAGTTATTGAAAAACAAAAACATTTTATTGAACGCGATTTTTGTTTTCGTTTTGCTTTTTTAAAGGTTGATAAAAGAAAACAAGAAACGTTTCTCGTTACTAAACGCAGCCTAAATTACATATTGATAAATCGTTCAACGTTTATTATTTTAACTTGCTTTAAGATTTGACGTGTGTGCTCAACGATGCCCTTAGCATTTTCTTTTTGGTAGACCTGTTGATCATTTTTTTAAATAATAATTTTACCCTTCCTTATTTGAAAATATCTCCCTCTTGCATGAAATGAGGGCATTACCAGCTTTTCACACTCAAAGTTATCTTTCGGCCATTGGCGAACTCATTTAGGGAAAGATCAAAGTAATAAACGTTGAACAGTTTAGGTCAGTATAATTTTAATATTTCCATTTTCCATCATTTTCCATTTTTTTCCGGAATTTTTGTTGTTACAAAGGCATTTTCGTTTTTTACCGTTTTGTGTACCGGGCACTGTGGAGTGTGTCGGTTGTGTCCGAGAGTTGTTTGGAGCATTTCATTGAGTCCAGGACTCTTTGAAATGCAAGGGTAACCATTTTTGCAAGCGCTACCGGAAATATCGCGTACGGGGGCGTTGGTTGAGTTCATTTGCATCGCATTTATTTATTTTTGATATATTTTATGTGGTTACGAATTTTTATATGTGTATATCTATATTATTGTGGTGGAAGGAAATTAAAAGAAAAGAGAAAAAAAAAAAATTGGTGGTGGGACCCACCACCCACACAATTTATGGCCAAGAGAGATCCCTTTGATCTCACATCTCTCTCTCTCGCTGGTCTTTTTTCCCCACTTTTCTATCAAAGTTATAAAATTTGATTTCTCCCTCAATACTTGGTATTTTTGAGTGCCGTTTGCGGCAAATTAAAAAGCTCATCGAGATCTACGATTTGATCGGAGCAATTTCTTATTTGAAGCACTTTAGGAAATTCGTGAGCTAGGGCTCAAATTGGGGATTTTTGCTTGTCTTGAGGTAGGGGTTCCTAATTCCCAATTTCTTGTTTCCGTGTAAATTTTCTTTCAAAATTTGATGTCAAGCATGCTTAATTTGAGTTGATTACCCTTAAAATGATGTAATTGTTGTATTTGAAGTTTGTGATCATGTGTATTGATGGAATTATGTAATAAGCATGCTTAAATGTTAATTTCCATGCCTATGGTGTTTATTAATTTCCTAGAAATTGCTATAAAGAAGCATGTTAAATTGTGCAGTGTAAATTTCCTTTATTTTCACATTATTGGAAAAGCATGTAACATGCACTCATGACATTGGGCATGAAAGAAATGGGCAAAGTTATTTGAATTGGAAAAAGAAAGGGGTTTTGGGAAGAAATTTGATTAAATGGTTTTGAGAAAACTCTTTCGTCGCGAAGTCACCAAAGGGCCGGTGTGTTAATATAATCTAGAGGGAATTAGGGAGATTGCCCAGCGTGGTTGAGCTATCTGGGCCCCAAATGACGCTGCAGAGGTACTAAGGGTCAGGGACAGTAGTCAATCATTCTCTCTTGTCGCTGCGGGGTCACCAACGGATGGGTTATATTAACAATTTGAAAAGTGATGGATGATTTTGAAAATGGGGAGTGACATACATGGCATTGCATCCATGGCATGCAGATCCATCACAAGGCTAAGGAGGACTAGAAATCCATTTTTCTGTCATCTTTTATATATTTGCCATTTTTTTGTCAAGTCTCAAACCATAGTAAAGTGTATTCATTTTGTGAACTGTAGTCATATATTGTAAATATAACACTTGGTGGTATTTTGAAGTAAAATGAGACTATAAAATTATTTCTTGATGAAAGGGTAATGAAGTTGTATTTCGACCAATTATAAATATCTTTCAACTGTATTATATCATGTTCTATTGCCGTGAATTTGGAAATTAATGGCAAAATAGGTCCAGTAGAGATTTGGCTCACAATTAACATAGTTGGAGTCCATTCCCGAGGGTTCAGGGGTGTGAGGTCTTGTTTCGGCCGGCTGACCCTCACCATCAGCAGACCGAAACCCCAGGTTCGGCTGACCGAACCCCCTCCACCAGTCGACCGACAAGCTTACAATGTAAGTCCCAAGAGTATTCATTTTTCCCATTGTTTCAGCCGACCGACCCTGCTTTAACAGTCAGCCGATGAAGGCCCATCAGCCGGCTGATCATCCCTTTTGACCTGTAATGTTTGACCATTACTGTAAGATTGTGATGTAGGGTATTTTGAAACCTGAAGTGAGCCTTATGACGGTTTTGGACATTAGAAATGAATGTATGACCTAGCTGACCTCGTGTCAGGGCAAGGACCCAATTAACGGTCCGGACCCACGGGTTCGGGTCGTTACAAAATTGGTATCAAAGCTTTAGGTTCGAATACCTTTCGGACGATGGGTAGTGGCTTACCTAGAAGGGGTAGAGGGTTGACTTGCATCGTTTAGGTGCCTATGTGTTAAAGTGCTTAAATGCTTGAGAAACATACCAACTTGTTTACTTGCTTACCTGTTTATTTACTTACGTAATCACATGCTTATCTGTTTATAGTTTTGAGGGCATGCCTAATTGCTAAATGTTCACGTATTTAAATGCTAAAATTTGTGTTACATGGCTATGTACGAGGAATAGTTAGATGTTCTAACCGTGTAAATGAAATGTGAAAGAAAAGAAAAATATGTTGATTGTGTATGAGGAGTATGGTAACGGAAGTGGTAAGCACGGGGTGTGCAGTTTTAATTTAAATGCTAATGTGACAAGTAATGAGCATGGTATATGCCAACGTGTTTCATGTAGTATTATGGGTTTTATTCATTTTGTATACGTATATGGCCTTGTTCTTATGTGGTTATACAGTTAAGCATTGGGATGGTTGCTAGTACGGTTGGGTAATTGTCACGGCATTGAGGGTTGTGTAAGTTTTAACTTGAGTAGGCGAGGAGCTCGGTTGCTCCAGGGTTATTTGGGTGCTGGTTCTTGTCGGACTAATGGCGTAGGCTTCTAGCTCGTGGATTGAGCTATTTGGCATATAGTCATCCTGATCTTTTTAGTTGCATTTTGTGCGATGTTTAGAGCACGACTTTAGAACGGATTCATATTTCATTAAAAGGTGCCCTTGTTGTGTGCGAGTTTCATGTATTTGTGTATGGTTCTGGTAACCGTGGAGGTCAAGTGTACGAGTAAGGGTTTCAATATGACTTTAGGAGGTCGATGTTTACGACTCAGGTCACGGTTTGGTGTGGAGGTTCTTTTCGAACCAGTCGTGGTAGGTGTGACGAGGGTTGTTTGAGTCACGAGTGTAGTTTATGGATTGTAAAGGTGTATCTCGAGCATTTTGGAACGACTTAAGGAAGTGTATTAGTTTTGACTGTCATGGGAACTTGTTGGATCTTGCAGGTCTATGGTGATTTAGGACCGGTTGTCGGATGTAGATCATTTCATGGTCTTAAAGGAATCTATTTTGGAGACTGGTTTGTCGAGGAGTGATTCTTATTTAGGATAGTTACAGGAGCGTGTTACGGGTAATCAACCCTTGGTGAATCGGTTGCATGGCTCAGTCGATGAGCGGCGTTTTGGGTTGGCACGGTTGTCTAGAAGGTCTCGAGGTGAGGTATAGTGGTCAGTTTTAGCTGTGTAGTGCAGGATTGTGCGATAAGGCAAGTAGTACGGGGTCCTTGGAGTGCTTGATTGTTTATGGATGAAGTGAT